GTAGGGAAAATACAGTTTTCATTTGAATGAAAGGGAACTCTTAGGCATAAAGAAATTAAGATTTTGGCTACATCCAACATCAGGTTTAAGCAGCTAGCCCACCAGAGAAACCTGTTTGAGAATTCCAGAAAAAATTCACCTTTAACATCACAATTTTTTAATTTGCTATTCACCCTCTGCTTTACAGCACGTTTCAATCACAGATATGACTGCAAATACATGACTATAGTTTGGTCTTTCTAGACAAGTATTTGAGCTCCAGGAAATTCTGAACAGCTTACTAAATTCACTTTAAGGAATGAACATATGCTACAAAATGCATTGTTCTGGTTTTAGCAGCAAGACACACAACACACTGCTTGAGCTGTGCCAAGCTTGGTAACCTCAAATGCATCACAACATATCCCTCTACAATTTTTGTTGCGTGCAAAAGCACTACTAGGTCTTGGCAACAAACGGGTACAATGGAAATCTGGAAAAGCCACCATTTTCCAGCAATCTGCTTCCAGGGCAAGCACAAAAATAGGAAATGCAAGGCAACATATAATCTATAGATCACACAAAACTGTAGCACAGATACTTTACTACTTCTAACTTGCATTCTGGCATTCTAAGGTCTTATTTTCCTGAAATATACTGTAAAGACACATAAAGTTAGGAAAACTACTTTTTCCACCTGGTCTGATTACAGGGTAGTTTAATGTTTTCGTTGAATTAAAGCATAAATATGGAAAAGATGTTTTTGCAGTCCTTTACGTTAGCATAACAAGGCAGATTTTCAGGAAGGCTCACCATCAGAACTACTACTTCCTATGTCTACTACAGCTGGGTCCACCACCAGACTCCAAGCTTCAAACGTGGAATGATCATCAACGTGTTGAGAACACAAGACTAAAATAGAAGGAGGCTTACAAAAGCTCATCTGTACATGGTAAGCCAGGCAAAAGCATGTCTGCCATTAATCTCAGTGCAAAACGACAATTGCAATTTGGCAGCCAACACCCATTTCACATCAACTAATCTGATGTGGGAAAGTAAGAAGCCATGTCAGCAGCATGCAAGACTGAGAACTTCATAGATCACAGATGTGCAAGAGGCTGCTGAAGGTCTGGTATGACTGGGTGCCTCAAGTGAGTCACAGTCAGTGGATACATTCCCCTTCTTGTCCAATAAACACGTTGAGATTTGCTATTAACCCAAGTACGGTCTTGAAAGTGCCAGTACTTCACCACTCCCAGTGATGGGTGTAGTGTTAAATGCCTGTAAAGCATGCTGCCTAACAACTCATTTGTTTAATACAGGCTTGCTGTGACGGAGACCCACACCACTGACTGCTCCAACACATGTAAACAGATTGACTGTTTCATCTCACTTATCCCCTACTTTCACAGCTTGTAAAACTGCCCATCAGATACCTTAACCACCCCTTTGGCTGTATGACTGCCACTTCGTGGTCTATGGAACAGCCACAGAGCACCCATTTGACTGGATGAAATCAGGACAGACACACACTTTATTTCACTTTTAGAAAAATAGGAAAACAAAATATTTCTCTACAATCACTACCAAATCCATGACACTACAGATGGTTTAGCACCGCATACTGCAAAATATAGGAGTCTGCACAGTAAAATTCAACACAAATAAAAACGCGTAATGATGTTCTAAGAATATCCTCAGTCGGGAGATTTGGGAGTGTGGAAGCCATTTTCTGCCCACATGATTTAGGAAAAATCAGGAAGTACGTATTTAGGCAGGAATACAGCTGCAACAGCTATTTAGCATTCCACAATTAGCTATCACCCAATAAACATGCTATCTGCCACCTTACACCAACAACAGACCCTTGCAGGAGCAAATATACTTGTGCTGATTAGATCAATCTTACTACCTAACTTTAGAAACTTACAACACACATTTAAATTTTTTCTTTTACTGCGTAATGGCACTTTTACATCCTGAAGGGCATTCATAACGACTTCTGTTCCAATCAATCCTAGAAAATGTTCTATGCAAGTCACTTGTGTCTTCTTTACAAAAAAAAGACATGGTTAGTGGCAGTAATAGAGAATTCGAAACCACGGCACTTCCATATGGGAAAAAGCTTGTACAAACCGCCTAATCCTGCTCAGGATTTCCACTGAAATTGAGAGGAACAAATGTGATCATTAAAATGCATCTCAAACAGATGTCACAACTTCAAAATTTCAGCCTGTTCCAGCTTCTGTATGAAAACTCTTACTACTCTTGAAAATAACCCAGCATAATTGACGTATTGGTATTTGCAGCTTTTGATACAGTCAGCATTTTGAAAGTCAGGTCATGCTGTCAGAAACCTTTTTTAAAAAGTCACCTTATCCACTGTCCATAACAGAACGTTAGTTCCTACAATCTAAAGATTGATACTTTTTTTTAATCTCAAATTTGGAGAGTATTTTAATTCTTACTTCATTAAATACTCATAGCTATTAAAAATACACCTTACACTTTTCAGTCATACCAAGATGTTAGCATTTTCAACTATAATCAAACTGCAGCTGTCCTCTGGAGATGACAATGTAAGCATCAGTGAGGCAACAATCTGTAACTCCACAGAGACACTTTGATAAACAGCACTCTGCATGTGCAATGTGAAGCATAATTATTATGTAAATCTCAAGGAACTTAATTTTGTGTTATATTAATTAGGCTGCTGGAAACAAAAACAGGCAATTTGCATATGGATCAGACAGTTTCTTGAAAAGCTTTGATAAACTAATGAGCCTTTATGCACATACCTAATCGTAAAGTGTAGGCTTCCACCCTTCTAAAGCCAGTGAAGAGATAGACACACGTGAAGCAGTTGCCAAAAAATAGTCATGCATCTCATTTACTCTGGAGACACGTGCTTTGATAACCATTGAAGGTCCTGAATTATTTAAAACATATTTACAGTTCACACAGAAAACAGTCAAATTACCAAAGGTGGAAGAAAACAAAGAACAGTTAAAACCACTTCTAGATTTATTTTTATTTTTAAACAGGTGAGCAACAAGTTCATCTAAGAGCTGGTGGACAAATTGATGAATATGAGTAGAGATACACACAACAGATTACTAAACCCAGTAGTATAGTCACTTAAAAATGGCATTTTAATTCAGCTTCTGAGGCTCTGCTAACGTCCTAATTTGCTTTGTCTACTTGCTACCCTTTCTGTATTTTTATTTTTGGCTAAATTGAATATTCTTTCAGCTGACTCACGACTGGTGTTTAACGACATAAAGAAATCATTTCGTTTGTTGCGCCTTTTCAACACAGCCTTTACATTTATCTTCTTCTAAAAACATCACTCCAAGGTACAACTCCAGTATGAAACAATGCACAGCTGAGATTTAAATGATTGGGCTTGAATGTCATATAGAAGGTGGCAAGCAGTATTTGGAAAGATGGGATGAGGACGAATGCAAAACATGTCTGGATTTCCCTTTCATCTTGCTGAGATTCTAGAGCAGAATAAATATAACAAGAAAAGTTTCATTGTGACAACCTTCCTCTGGAAATACTACAGGATCAAGAGGAATGGGACTAATATGAAGTACTCTTCACTCCCCAGCAAGGCAATGGCCTCCAGCCTTCTCTTCATACAGTTCTGAAGGATCAACTAGATGAGGAATGGCCGCTCTGACGTGGAGTCAGAACACGTGCTGCAGGCCAGAGGAAAGAATTCCCTGAGTGAAGAGCGTAAAGAGCTTGCTGGCAACCAAGAAGCTGAACCAACACTTGCAACATTTTAGGGTACTCTGGTACAAACAAGGATAAAAACATAAAACAATTTAAAAAAGGGTGAGATGAAGATACCGGTTTAGCTGGTGGTTTAGCTTCAATTTGTTTAATGCAACTGGTGCAACAGTCAGTTAAAATACAAACCACACAGATATGGGTTTGTATTTTAATGAATTTTGTAGCTTCACATGATTAACAGGATCTGACACTACAAAGTCAAACCTTTAAAGGTTTTATTTTGTTGAGAGTTTTTTTCTACATTCAAACAATAACAAAATAGTACCTTTTATATTTCGAATAACTACATAAAATGTGATGTTTCCTCACAGGACACTGATGCAAAAATAGTGTCTCTAAAATAACGCTGATCAACACCCTCAATGTTCTAGAAATACAACAGTAGAAAATGCATGTTTGTTAACTCCAAAGAATAAACAAGTAAAAGCTACATGGGTGGCCTACGCTGAAAAGACAGCCTTTAGACTCTGCTATGCATGTCCTTATTTAGTACGCTTGGTCTGCGTATGACTTCTTGCGGTATTTTTTATAACAGTCCACTAGGTCTTTCATACTGCAGTTTTTCTGTTAGGTCTCCTAAATGGCATACTGTTATCAAAACCGTGGTTTAACATGAACACCTAACTCTTCTAAGAGGGTAGGTCAAGCTGTGTACTATGGAGCTAAAATGCCCTTTTGGTTCAAAACTACAAGTATGTATTCCCACTAAAAGAAGATCCACTTACACAAAGTTTGTCATGCGATTAGATGTGACACAGAATCAACGAAAAACTAATTCTTTTGCTCTAAGCCATTCTGTATTTTAAACCTTTCCTATTTTGTGTGGGGTTAATATGTCCATTCTTTTCGCTTTTGGAAGTTTTCATGCCCACCTCAAAATCACTTTTAGTTCTGCATCAATCTTCTTACTAGCTGCACTACACAATTATAACAGACGTAGTTTCATTACCAGTATACATAATGGTGTATTTTCTGTTGCTTCTGTAACTCAACAACATTCAAAAAATGCTGAAACACATTAAATAAAGCACATTAAATATATTAAATAGCTACACTGGCCTTGACAGCTTGTTAGCCTCATGAAGAGGATTAAAAAAAGAGTTCCTATTCAGAAGGATCAATGCATTATTTTATTCCTGTAGCAAGGCAGCATTATTCTCTACGGATCGCTTGCTCCACCTATAAAAGTCCCTCCTGCTAAGAAATCAGTTTTACACTTAATCACAATAAATTTTATTTTTAGTCACATCTTTTCTTACCAAATATGAAGCTGTAATTAATCCACCTCTGGCTGGGGTATAAAAGCCTTTATGTTCAATTAAGAACTGAGATTATGCCATGACTAGAATAAGTTACATAACTATAAGGAGTGCCAAACGTGTTGCATCTTGTCAGCCTTCGTTAAATATCAACACTAATCAACAGATAGCACAGAAAAAGAAAACGGTGAATAATCCAGAAAAAAGCAAGAGTCCTGAGATGACATTATCATCACCCTTCTCCTTCCATTAAGAAAGAAAAATCCTCTCCAGCTCTCCACCGCTGCTGAACAAATACAAGGACAAACCCCCCTCCTTTTTCCTTTTTTATTTGAAAAGACGTGTTCGCAGCCATTTAGCTAGAACACAGGATCCCAAACATTTTGGGCCACCAGACCACAGCCAACGCTCACACTTCCTCGCTGGCCACCAGCGCACAACGGATCCGAGCAGCGCACAGCCGCGACCTCTTCCCATACCGCTCCGCAAGCGACCT